CTGTTAACGAAACAAAAAACTATACTGAAGAACCCTATCTTTATGTATTTGGAATATTATGCTCTGAGCTTGCTAGTGTTGTTTTTTTAAACCAGTTAAATTATCAGATGTCATGGCTGAACATTCGTGTTGAACAAATGTTGAGCTTATTGGTATATGAAAAACAAATATGCTTAAAAACTACTCTAACTAAAGTCAAAGGTGGCAGATCAAACAACGTTTTGACAACTGAAGTTTATGATATTATTGGCTTCTTTTCCAATCTTCCTTTTCTTTTGACAATTCCTTTGGAAGTAATCGCAATAACGGTATTTTTATATTCTTTATTGGGAGTGTCTAGTATTGCTGGCGTGGTAATGATGATGGCATGCCTTTGGTATAATAAAAGGTATGGAAAACACGTCAATCGGTTGCAAAAGCGGGTCAAAAGAGCCAGAAGCGGCAGAGTTAGTGAAATTTTTTGAAGTGAGTAATTTGTATCTTATATTATTTATATAGATTATTTTATTTATTTATTTATAATGTATATATCATTAGCTACTTAATGTAGTTCGCACGATCAAAATGTTAGCTTGGGAGCGCAGTTTTCACGATAAATTAATGCGTAATAATTTTCCTATTTCATTGATCACTTGTTTCATTAAACACAATACTCTACCAAAACATTACTAAAGTAATTTTTGTTACTAGTTTCGCGTCAAATTGAACTTGATCAACTTCAACATTTCTTCTGGCGTACAACCTTGCTTACATTATTAGTTCACCTTACACAATTCTTCGTGACATTGCTTACATTCACTTTTTATACGATTATATTTGACAACCAATTAACAGCTCCTGTAGTTTTCACGAGCCTTATGTTATTTAACATATTGAAGCAGTCAATGCAAATTTATCCAGATTTGATAGTTGACCTTAAGGCACTTGTGGTCTCCGTAGGGCGTATAGAAAAGTTTCAAGATGAAATAGAGATTCAAAAGCCCTCTAGTTCAGATTCTATGGTTACCAATATTGGTTTTACTGGTGTTAATGTGGCTTGGAAGGATGATATCATTCGAAGTCCTAATGAATTTATATTAAAAAATGTAAATTTAAAGTTTCCTATCGGAACACTAAGCCTTGTTTGTATGTATGAGCACTTCTCGTGATTTCCTTTTTTTTTTCTTGTTATGTTTACTATTGTTATTTTTCTAAAAGGCGGGCATAAATCTTCTGGAAAAACGCTCCTTTTACTTTCACTTCTTCGTGAAACATCATTGCTGTGTGGTACTATCCATTTTCCTATAACAAAAGTTGCTTATGTTCCTCAGCAACCATGGTTGGAAAATTCAACTATACGAGAAAATATATTATTTGGCTCCAATTTCGAAGATGAGCGCTATTGGAAGGTTGTTGATGCATGTTGTTTGCTTAAAGATTTTGAGAACATGGAACAAGCCGATTTCACTGAGGTGCAACTGCTTTACTTTCATAAAGTAATACAGTGTTATTTAAAACAAGTAATTAATATAATTTTTTGTACTAAAAGTATAATGATAAAGATTTAGTACTAAGTGATGAACAAAAAGCTCGTGTGGCACTAGCAAGAGCACTATATAGTGATGCGCGAATCCTACTACTAGATGATTTTTTGTCGATTATGGACTCAACTACAGGTTCATATATATATTAATAATAGAATTTAGGCTTGAAATTTATGCTTTCCACATTTCCTAATGCATATTACAAATTTTTGTTAAAGCGCGTCAAATAATTAACAACTGTATAAAAGGTCCATTTATTGCTGGACGAACTGTGATTATTGTAACATACTATATTCGAGATCTTTTGGATATTTCTGATTATATAGTAATACTCTGTGGTGGGACTGTTATAGCTGAAGGAACTTCTGGGCAAATGACGGATTCTGAAGCTTTAGCCAATGAAATGTTTAGAACAAATGCAGATGCTAAACATGGTCAGATAGATACAATTACACAAAATTCATTTAATCAAACGGTTGAAAAATATGATAAGAAAATTTGGACAACAAATGAAGGTATATATATATATTTGCTACAAATTTGTACAATTTTATGAAAAAACTTATTTATTGTAATTGATCATACTTAATATAGTGCATAGTCAAGTAAAAGACCCGTTCAATCTTTATTATTTTTACATCAAATCTAGTGGAGGTTTATTGCTTTGGACCATACTTATTCTTCTGTTAATTGTAATTCGAGTTCTAACAATTGGTGAAACCTATTGGTTGAAAGAATGGTCAGACCCTAACTCATCATTATTTGAGCCGTTATATGATTATGTTCAAATACGTTTCGTATCTATATATATTTTAATTGCCTCAGTAGCAGCACTTTTTATAATTTTCCGTATGGCATTTCAACTTTTAGTTTCGTTTAAAGGTTCAAAAACCCTATTTTCCAAGCTTCTTAATGCTATTTTGAACGCGCCCTTTACATTTTTCGATACTGTTCCCCTTGGAAAAGTAATGAATCGCTTTTCAAAAGATCTAGGTATAATAGATCAGGGTCTTGTAACAATTATATCAAATTTCCTTGTAAATGTGATAGGAACAATAAGTATACTCGTGGTGATTACAGTTATAATACGAAAATTTTTTTTCATTTCCATCATAGTGGGTAGGTTAAAATACTATTAATTTATATATAGTATTACACGGTCTTAATATAAATTTATTCTTCCTGCTCCCATAAATATATCCCTTTTATATAGTTGCACTATGTCTTGTAATTAGTAGCGCGTATATTAACGTTTCAAGAGAATTAAAACGCCTTCAGTCCATTACTCGTTCGCCTGTTGTCTCATGGTTCAATGAAACAAATATGTAAGCAATTTTAATACATACATTTATTAAAAGTGTTATTTTGATTAAATCATTATCATTTTTCGTTATTAGAGGTATTACAACTATTAGAGCATTTGCTGCCGAGCATCGATTTGTTAAAAAATTCACTGACCGGTAACTTTGTTTTATCATAAGATTCCTCTTATCATATTATTTATCAATTATAATCTTACTTATGTTCACCACTTCACACTATAGTTTAAATACATCCAATCGGACTACCTACCTTCTTCATATGTCTAATCGGTGGATGCATGTTCGCATTGGCAGTACAGGCGCCTTGGCATCTTATTGTGTTGGTATTTTTATCCTATGGCAGTATGCTAATATTGATGCTAGTTTGGCTGGTTTTTGTATGATTTATGCGCTTGGATTTGCGCCTATCGTGGCCGTAAGTATTCATTAATTATTTATTAGAATAGTCCTTAAATATA